AATGCATACCGAAAGGATACCAATGAAGCCGACCATTAATGACTAGTTCGAACACCAGGAGCGGTCTGATCCCTTATTTGATCAGATAGACTGCTCTTAGAAACATAAAACAAAAGCAAACTCTCATAGTTCAGAGCCCAGCTTCAACTATTTCTTCTTAAGTGAGGTTTTTTATAGTTGAAAATTCCTTCTCGGGGTCTTCCTTTCTACTCCTAATGGTAGTGCGCATCTCAAACTATAAGGGGCCTTTGAAGCCCGCACCATAAACTGCTACAACATAAACATAGGCTGGTAGTATGAATTGTCCCAAACTGCATAAAAGCTTATGTCTTCATATAGGAAGAACCTCCCAATAGCTCTCCTAGCCGCTGCATGCAACCTCTGCGAAAATACGATTTCATCGAGGGTTGTACTACTGTTTTCTTCAAAAGAAGGAAAAAAGAGACTCAACTTCTTTTTCTACCTGATTAGGATACATATTTACACTACACAAATATCTACAAAGGGTAAAAAGTACATGCCTCAGTTTGTAAAGGCTGCTTAATCTCTCTGAAGTAGAGCCATTGTTGAACCCCTTGTCTTCTTACTTCTTCCTCAAAATAATGAGCTGAGGGAGCTTGCTTAAGAGTAACAATGTAACCATCTGAAGACTATAGAACTGCGTAAGAGCTTGAGTCTTGCTTTTGGACAAGTAACTAAGCTAAGACAGTCGTCAACATAGCCTGTCTTCTCTTCTCTCTCCTAGCAGTAGCAGCTTCAAAAGGGGCGAAAGCACCGACAACATTTAAGCCTTTGGTAAGGGAAGTCCTAGCTTCGCTACCCCTCCTCTATCGAATCTTTCTAATCACCCACCCTGACTCTAAAGAGGAAGTTAGCTTAAAGACCCTCCAACAAGTCAGTGCGTGTCTACTATTGATTCAATTCATCTGCAGAGGGCATTCGATAGCAATCCCTTCTTCTTCTGTTAAAAGGCTATTGCTCTTCTTTGTTCCGAAAAAAAGGGTACGAAAGCCCTGAAGTGCAGAGCTTTTGGTTTTTTCATGTTGTCAAAGAGTTGAACAATGGATTTTTCGTGTTGTCAAAGAGTTGAACAATGAAAATAGATGGCGAGTGCCTGATCGAATTGATCGGGTCATGTTTGATGTTTTCAAAACCTTCGGGTTATCCGTAAGCCCTGAAGTGCAGGATGTTTTCAAAAAGCCTTCAGGAGCTTTTTGATATTTTCAAAACCTTCGGGTCATCTGTAAGCCCTTCAGTGCATGATGCTTTCAAAACCTTCGGGTCATCCGTAAGCCCTGCACTGCAGGATGTTTTCAAAAAACCTTTGGGAGCTTTTTGATATTTCAAAGCCTTCGGGTCATCTGTAAGCCCTTCAGTGCATGATGCTTTCAAAACCTTCGGGTCATCTGTAAGCCCTTCAGTGCATGATGCTTTCAAAACCTTCGGGTCATCTGTAAGCCCTTCAGTGCATGATGCCTTCAAAACCTTCGGGTCATCCGTAAGCCCTGCAGTGCAGGATGTTTTCAAAAAGTCTTCGGGAGCTTTTTGATATTTTCAAAGCCTTCGGGTTATCTGTAAGCCCTTCAGTGCATGATGCTTTCAAAACCTTCGGGTCATCCGTAAGCCCTGCAGTGCAGGATGTTTTCAAAAAGCCTTCGGGAGCTTTTTGATATTTTCAAAGCCTTCGGGTCATTTGTAAGTCCTTCAGTGCATGATGTTTTCAACATTTCAAGAAGCCAAATGAAAAATTATTGTCTTTTTTTGTCTTTGCTCTATTCTTGTTAACATAAGAATGAGCAAAGAGGGGCAGATATAGACACTAATTTTTCATTCTATTATTTTTATCATTATTATTATTATTATTATTATTATATTATTATTATTATTATTTATTAAATATTACAAAACCCAAAACTGAAGCCCGAATACAAATCCTGGAACCCAAATCACGGCCCATTTACAAACCAAAACCTAGATAGCCCAATTATAACCCTAAACCTAATTAGGGTTTCTATCACAACACCCAGCCGCCGCAGATCCTCAACCGTTGGATCTAATCTGATCCAACGGCCTTTATGCAGTCCAGCAAAGAAACCCTAGGGTATCATAACCCTAGGGCCACGTCCCAGCCACCGCTGCTTCCAGAAGGCTCCAGCCGCCTCTCCAGCTTCCAGACGCCGCTGCCAAGGCCACGCCACTGCCAGGTGCTCCACTCCGATGATGCCACCACGCCGCCGCCTCGCTAAATACTCCAGAAGCAGCCCCACGTCGAAGCCCTATGGTGAGTCACCACCCTAGCTTGGTGACTCACCGCCAAGAGCTCTATTATCCGGTCCAAGGCGAGCTCGGTGGTGGCTATAAAAGCCACCACACCTGCAAAATAAAGAGGGACACAGACAACAAGCAACAAAGACCAGAAAACAATGGAGAAAGAGACGAACACAGAGAACGGAGAGAGAGACTAGCAGAATACGAGACAGTAACATACACAACAACCACGAACAGAGGGCAAGAACAGCAACAACGAGAGCAACAAGGAGAACCAACATCGACAACAAGCAAGAACTATACCAACGATCCCAGACAAATACAAACTAAAAGAAAAGAAAAGAAGACGAAAGACTTACCCTTGGAGAGCCCAAACGTCGTTGGAAACTGTCGGTGACCGAAGGTAATATTCGGTTTATTCTAGATCTGGAGCTAGTAAGGGATTTCTAGGGGTAAATAAGGGTAGATTCGGGTTGATGGTTAAATAAGCTTTGATTTGGGTTAATTTTATAATTTCCGGCCACCGTTCACGGTGGCCGGCGGTGGCGATCGGCGTCAGAACTTGACCGCCGGCTGGTGGCCAGCCAACCTTCGGTGGGAGGTTTCTAGAGAGAAGGTAGAGAAAAAAATTCTTCTCTCAACTAGAGAGAGAAGAGGAAAGAACAAATGAGAAATTTGGCCTTTAAGGCCGGTTATAAGAGGGTATAAATACTCTCACCAAAACGACGTAGTTTTGGTGAGGGCCTTGATGTAATTTCACACATGGACAAACCCTTCCCGCAGTCACTCCAATTATGTATTCTTTACAAATTAGTAACTGCAATCAACTTATAATTATTTTAATTCGGCTTTGTATTTTTTAATTATTTATAATTTAGTCATTACCAGTTTATATTTATATTTAAGGATAAATACCCATACTAGTCCCTTATAATTTTATTAATTAATATTTATATACCGAATTAATTAATATAGGATAAATCACACTATTAATACCTATAGTTTATAATACTTCGAATTAGGCATTTAATTTTAATATGTGATATTTTAATCATTACTTTCATTTATTTATAAGTTTTATTACCTTTTTATATTTTAATACTATAGTTTTAATTTTTATTTATTTCAGTCACTATTTATTTATATTTTAATTTAATTTATTATTTTATATGTTTATTTACAATATATTTAATTATTATTATTAAGTATTATTATTTAGTTATATAAATATATTAAATAAATATCCTATTTATTAATCTGTTTTTTATTATTATTTTTAGAAATTTTTTATTTTTTATTTATTTTTTAATATCGAAGAAAAGAGCTGTCTTAAGGCACCTAGAAGTCATTTTCTGATATTTTTAAATAAATAAATATTTTACTATATTAAAATGAATTTTTTAAGAAAATGTTTTATTATTATTATTATTTTAAAGAAAATGTTTTAATTATTTATTTATTTTTTAATATCGAAGAAAAGAGCTGTCTTAAGGCACCTAGAAGTCTTTTTCTGATATTTCTAAGTAAATAAATATCTTTTTTATAAAAATAATGATATGTATATATATTAATATATTTTCTTAAAATTATATTAATAAATTTGAAATAACAGGATTATAAATTAAATTTATATATGAATTCTTAAATTATATTATTAGAGACAATTTATAATTAAAAAGTATTAATTTTGGGCGTAGGAGTGCTAATCATTCCCTAAACGTAACCAACCATGAATCCCTTTTTATTTATAAAAGGAATGAATTTTTGGTTAAAACGCAGATCAATTTATCTTTTAAATGATGTTTTCTTAAAAAATCTTTTAAAAGATGATTTTTAGGTATTCGACCTACCTGACCCAAAAGGCCGATGGCGACTCCCAATTTTTTTTTTTTAAAAACCATTTATTCACATCACTTTTCTCGCCAAGTAAAAATTTCGTGCCCGGGCAAAAATCGATTACGACAATGGGAAAACTTGATAAAAATTGAATATATTCTGTCTAACACATACAATAAAATATAATTATAGCAATAGCAATGAGAACATCTAAAACAACAATCAAGATTATTTTACTGGTCATTAAACTGTTAAGTACCCTTTAGGTTAAACTGGAATCCAATTAATGGCCAAGAGAATATCTAAAACGTCAATCTAAATGATTCTACAGGTTGTTAAGAGTCTTTTCAGAAGCACTAAAATTGCATTAATCTATCAAAACCCGTGTCTAGAAAGGCCTTTCCAGATGCCTGATAAGCATAACATAGCAGGCAACATCAAGAAACAATAAGGCAATCCACAAACATTGAATCTGAATAAACAGTAGCCAATAAAATTATGCACTTGACGTTATTCATGTTGAGGAAACAAGAGAAGAAATCACAATTCACAAGGATTGTTGTACCCTACCATACCAATATAGAAGATACTATACCAGTATATTGATAAACATTAAGTGTCCAAGTCTGTTCTATTTATTAGTACTCAGATACAGTTAAATTGTTCCGATATAGATTAGGACTTATCAATCAAAGAGCCCTCTATATATCTCATGCTTGTGGGGTTAAATATCAAGCATTAATCACAGTGGTCCACTAGCTAGTAGCTAAGAAGGTCTAGACACGTGAAAGCACCCTTAAGTACTCAATAACTAACCTAATGCATCTTCCTTAGGCCTTCATAATTTCCCTTTGGCTCCAAGCTACTTAGGTACTGATTGTTCCTCCTAATTTGAGTTAAAAAATGATACAGCAGACCTCCCTATAAAGCACACGTAGTCAAATGGACAACCACATGCAGAGCGTGAGAGTACGTTAATTAACTTCATTTAGCTAAAGGAAGGTAAGCATACCGTATTTCCTTTCTCATCTGTAACGTATTCCAGGAGGAACGATATCACCTAGTAACCCTTCATCTGTTGGAGGCTCCGAGGTAGGTTCGGGCTCCGAACGAGATTCTCCTGCGTCAATGGGTGATTGGTGTGATTGTGATTGTGTTGTGCTTGGAGGAATTTCCCTATGTAACTGTTCCCCCGGATGATGAAATTGTGAGACTGCCGGCGTCAACTGACCAGTAAAGGCAGCTTCATGGCTGATGAATCCCCCTCTGGGGAATGCTACACTGTGATGGCAGTGTTGACCTTCGTATGTAGTAATGACAATGGTAGGATCTTCACAAGAGCGTTCTACTCTCTTTTTCACTGTGCATTTGCTGTTTGTACAACTATAGTAGCTCCTGTGAGATCAACTATATGTGCCTTAGATTGCACAACAACCTGAAAACTTCCCTTAACATTAATGATTCTAAAGCATGAATCCCTCATTTCACTACCCTCTAACATAATGATTCTATTAATAGTTTTTTCTACATGAATATATATATATCAACTAAACCATGAGTAGAGTGTCAAAGGATTTGTATCAAGTTGACTGAAACAAGTTTCATGTTGGATTCCTGAACAACCCTATCGGTTCCCCTTATTAAAGACTTTGCTTTATGATCACTTAAGATAATGAAAAGTAAAGTGTTTTCTCGCATAAATAAAGGTTGAGCAAAAATATATATGCAGTAAAAAAAAAGATTAGTGGTTCAAAGAAATAGAGAATCAATTCCTAGGGTGCTTGCAATGGCATAGTCATGAACTGTTGGGATCTCTTTGAGATTATGAAAATAGCTGAACGGTATCATTAACTCTATAACCTTGAACCCATTAAGTGGTCTTAGACTCTTAGTAGTTAAAAATGTGTTATTTTCTCTTGAGATTTTAGGTTTAAGCATTTAAATTTGGAGGATGTATTATTAATGACTATGGAAGATTATAAAATACTACATTGTAATCACTTGTGCTATTAAAAATCTCAAACTGCTCCTTTTGACAAGCAGGGAAAAACTGATCAACACACAAGCTTATGGAAAGAAAGTTCATTATTATATTGGAAAATTTATAATGGTTCACTAACAAATTTATTTTTTAACAGAAATCAGGCACTGAATCAGTTTTAAAAGTGGGTAAAATGTTAGTTTTCTGTGTATCATCAATAATAGAGAAATAGCAACAGACCTTGGAAATGGACTGTTTTTAACAGCTTTTTGTCCATATTTCCGCCACCGATAGCCATCTTCAAGATGATCAACCTCACTCTTGGTCATAAATGCAAAACGTGGCTGCCGTATTCGTTTTTGTCCCTTCTTCCTCACCTTACTCCTACAAAAATATTCCACCAACAGTCATCAAAATGAAGAAGAAAATAATCCCTAAACATTAAAAGCTTTGTTTGAAAAAAGAACTAAATGGGAAATGGGATTCGCGTTTGAAGTATTAATATAGAAGATAGTGTATGGAATGGAAGAGATTAATAAGTGAAGAATTAAGATACCTGTACTTCATCGTGTACAGCCATCAATGATATGATGAAAGCTAAGTTTTTTAAAAAATCTACAAACACATGCTATGTAAACGACACAACTTTCTTAGATCTTTTAATGCAATAACATATGACGTGCATTCCCAGATTCATTAAAGCAATGGAAGAACCTACCTCAAAAATAACACTCAAATCGCATATAATGAATGATTTGCAATACCCATTTCACTTTTACATGAAGGGATGAATTTAGAACAAACGACAGACCTCAGAATAACTTAAAATAAGAACCGAAAGGGGGAGAATGAGTACAAACAAAAGGAAGAACCAACGGCATATTCCCGCCGCTATTGCGGCGGCGTGACCGCTTTCAAGGCCACTTCTTTTATAGCCGAAAAGTGGCTTTCGGTTTTCATCCCTATATTCCCTTAATTGCACCTGTTGTTGCACTAAAATGACGAGACTACCTTATCCCATTCCCCAACTTGCACGAAACGAGGGTTTTTTTCTTTTTCTCACAGATTCAGAATTTGTACGGAAACCGGAAAACTGCACCCTCTGTCTTTTGCCCACAGGATCGGTACGTAATTACGACTCAGTCCTCGAAATGATAAAAATCAAAGAAATAAATAAACAGTCAATTATTTTTTATGGTGATTTTTATCTTCATCATAGACAATGGATGTTTGATCTCTACTACTCACGGTATCTCGGGCGGCTTTCCGCCGGATCCCGTAGATTTATCCGGCGGATCCTCACTGGAGCTCGAAGACACCAACGGATTCGATGTCGAAACGTCAGCTGATCCACCCGGATTCGAAGCCGTCCCGGAGCCAGAACAACGAGCACCATGATCATCAGCTGCAGCGCAGCTTTGTGAGCCACTAAAGTTTCCCGCCAATTCAGGCATGGCTTCAGTCCGGTTGAATTCAGCAAACCGTCCAAACTCAACGGCATGATCCGGTGGTAGATCCCAACCGAACTCACTGAGTATACTAGTACTTTCCATATCGAAGAAGTAATTAACGCTGTTGGACACCGAGTCAGGCCCTTCCCCTGAAAGTGTCCAGCTCGACTCGGAAGTAAACTCAGCTCCTGGATTGCTCCCCTCTTTATCTTCCATATCAGCAAACTAAAAGGAAAAAAACCCTAAAGGATTCACAGCATCCAAACAGAATTTAAAAGAAACGCGGAGAGAGAAATAAGAAGAGCTAGGGTTTTGGTTCTTCGACTATGTGTGAGTTTTAGTGTTGGAGAAAGCAGGCGTTGTTTTCTGAAAAGCTTTCTTTTTGTCCCATCGATCAAAGAGAAAAGAGGAAAAAAATTACAAAAACTGTTCTAATTTTACTCGGTACGTGCGTTTTGTCAATTTGAAATTTACTCCATCTGCCTTTTATTTCACAAATTTAATTATTATATATTTTATTTTGAATTTTTAATAGTATGGATGGATTATAAATTAGTATATATTTATATTTATTAAATTATATACACGGGGCTAAAAAAATATTCTCTTTAATTATTAAAGCGTACAATGAATTTAATTATTATATATTTTAATTTTAATAATTGAAGTTAAATTGGTATTAGATGAAGTCATGCAAGCGTAAAAATAGTACCCACCAACGTTCGCTTCCCTAAGATCGTATTGAAGAACCCTACAGATTATCTAAATCTAGAACTAAAACTCTTACCGTTTCACTTTCTTAACTTTTATTTACTTACGAGATCTTTCATGCATGTAATATGGTCCATGTGAGCAATTTTTTTATTTTGAAAATGCCACATAATACATTACAATATAAGTTATTTCACGGTATCATCAATTAGATTTTAATTAGTAAATTAAAAGAATAAAAGAATTTGAGCTCATCAAATGGTCTTAGTGGTTAAAGAGTATTATTCTCCTAGAGATTATGAGTTTAAATAGTTACATTTGCGGGTGTGTGTGTGCATTATTAATGACTAAAATTTTAAACAAATATTATTTTGTAATCACCCTAGATTACTAAAAAATAATGAATCAATTAAATTTCTAGGAATAAAAGTATAATGACTAAATTTCTAATGTACAAAAAGTTCAGACACTAGGAGCAAAATTAAACCATAAATAGTGGCGAGAGGCTGGTATTTAAGCGATGGGATTGGGAAAAGAGGGATAGGCGAAAGTCAGTGGGCGCGTTATCTATGAACGTTAGTTAGATGTAATTTCGTGGATTTTGCACCATATCTATTTTAGTTAAGATAAGAATTAATATAAATTTAGTGAGTAATTAGTGAGTAATGAATGGGCGTTATTTGTGATGATAAGTTTTAGCAACATTTAGGTAAATTGTTTAGACGATAGATGCAATAGAAATTCTTAGGGTAAAGTACACAAATGCTCTCTTAGCTACATGACATTATTTTTATTGAATTATTTGATTATTAAAATTTATAAAATAATTTCTTAATTATAAGATATTGTTTTGATGAGTCTTTCGACTATTAAAAGTTACAAAATAGTCATTCAACCATTCATATATTCCAAACTCATCATTTTCGTTAAAAAATTGATGACAGTCTAAGCTAGATGTTAACATGTTGATTAAGATATGATAATCGTTTAAGATCTTAGGATCAAATTTTATCATATCACAGTCAATACGTTAACGTCCAACTCAGACTACTGATAATTTTTTTTTAACAAAAAAGAATGAGCTTGGAACATATGAATTGCCGGGTAATCATTTTATAACTTTTAATAGTTGGAGGACTTAATCAAACAATACCTAGAGTTAAGGGATCATTTTGTAACTTATGATAATCGATGAACTCGTAGTGGTAAAAGAATTATTGTTATTTCTTGATGTCACAGGTTCAAACATCAAGAATGCTAGGGATGTAACCATTCAACATTAAATGATAGAGAATTATCTATAAACAAATATTGTTTTATACTTAACTCAACTTAATAAAACTAATAATAATAATTGATGAACTCAAAAAATTTAATACCCATTAAGAAACCATTTATATGCTTTACCCAAATTCTAAAAAATATAAATAAATGAACGTAAAAAAATCGGAATTTAATAATTTTAAGGCTCTCACTTTTGAGGAAAAAACATGTTTTGATCTATCTTTGTTAATTTTAACCGGTAAATTGTAATAGGTTTTTGAGATATTAGTGTTACATGGAAATTATAATATTATCGTTTGTCATTTATAGATTTTTTTAGAAAATTATTAAAATTTTAAATATATTCAAAATAAAAATATAATAAATTTATGTTGACACAAAATATATTTTTAAATAATTTTTACTTTAAATATTTTAAATAAGATTTAATGTTTTTTAATATACATCTTTGTCTTTCTAATAATTAAAAGAATTAAAAAGTTATGTAATAACATTGTGATGTGATAGGTAATATTAATTAATATAAATATATTAGATTTAACAATCACAGTTGATAAGAATAAATTTGATGAATTTTCAAAATATATGAATTAAATTAGGTGCAAAAAATAAATAAATTTTTTATTTAATTTTCTTCAGAAGTTTAAGTACTTCAACCCTTAAGTCTTTTATTTATTACAATATTAATTGCAAATTTAAAACTATATAAATTAAAAACAATTTAAATAACTAATGAGGTCTTGACAGAATTGAAAAAAGTTGAAATATTGAAGTTCCAAACCTCAATTTAAATTTATTATAGTTTAAATTTTATTATCTCAATTTGAATTCATATTTATATTTATTTAAGTTAAACTATGTGTGGAGACATATGTAACCTTATTTTTATCTAAGTCTAAATATTATATTTTCCTTTATAAAAGTCTAGATATCATAATTGTATTTATTATAGTGTCGACACTCATTTTTCTTCCTACTAACTTTTTTTATTATTATTATTATTATTTATTATTATTATTGTATTATTATTATTATTATTGTATTTGTATTATTATTATTATTATTATTATTATTCCATTTTATTTTTCAGATCAATTACAGTAGCCCAAAATCGGGCCCAATTACAAGCAAACCCAGAGCCCATCATGGAGCCCAAACCAGTTTAAGGTTTTACCCTAACATCTCAGCCGCTGCTCACTCCTAGCCGTTAGATCTGGGAGAGATCCAACAGCCAAATCAACCCTCAGCTAGGGTTTGTCACCTTTAGCTCCAGCCGCCCCACGAGAACCGTCCGATATAGACCCATCCAACAGTCCATATCGAGCCTCAGATCTACTGCCCATTTCACCCAATCCCAGGCCACCTCTTGCAAGCACCAACCACAACCTTCGTTGCAACCGCCAACCCGAAGGCCTTCCATGTCATAAAGAAGTCAACAAGCAATCCAGACCAAATCCATACGCAAAAGCCTATGTTTTTTTAATCTTTTCATAGCAAAAAATATGAAAAATCGGGCTTATATAACTTGGAACAAAAATGTAACAGGGGTCCTCCCCTATGAATTGAGAGTTTCGAAAAGAAAAAAAAAGTAAAAAAAAAAGCCAAACTTTGGAAGGTATATTTTTGTGTTTTCGTTATCTTTTGGTTTTTGAATAAAAAATAAAAACCAAGCAACCCATCCTTTATTTCAAGCATATTGCATGTGAAACCAAAACCGAGAGTAAAAGAGAAGACTTGCCTTAGAAGGGAGTCGGACTTGGGACCGGATCTTCATCGGGAGTCGTCGGAGGGTGAGAAAATCGAAAGGTCAGGGGACCTTTTGGGGTTATTTAGGAGTTTTTTGATAGTTTTAACCTTAGATCTAAGGCCAAGTTGATATATCAGAGTGAGGGATTGTTTTGGGTGAGTTTGGGAAGTCTGACCCCCGTGTGCGGTGGTCGGAAGGCGGCCAAAGGTGGCTTGAGGCGGTTGAAAGTAGGCCGACTGAGGGATTTGAGAGAAAACGAAAAAAAAGAAATTTTTTTTAGAAACTCGGTGCAAAATAAAAAAAAACCAAAAGATGGTATTTATAAAACAATTTTAGAAATTTTTGGTTTATTTGCTGTTTAGTCCCCCTAGTTTAGCCGTGTTTTTGCATGTTAGTCCATGTATGGACTTTTTTGTGATTTACCCTCTTTTATGCATGTTTTATATTTTTAGGGTTATTTTTGGTTTAGTCCTTTCATGTTTAGCGTGTTTTTACATTTTGGTCCTGTGTAGTGACTATTTAATTTTTAAAAAATATTTAGGGATATATTTAGTAATTTTACCTTTTTATTCGAATATATATATTTTAGGCTAAATAAATGGAATATTTTGTAAATAGTCCATTAAGTTTCTGCATGTGTATATTTCGAACCCCAAATTGTTTTTTTATTTATTTTAATTCGGCCATACAATTTTAATTTATTTCTATTTAGTCCCCATGTTTTATTTATTTTTTATTCCTTGTAATTTTAGCACTTAATATTGTAAATGTTCACTTTAGTCATTTGTATATTTTATTTTTGTTTCAATTTTGGCATGATGGTTTGATTATTTATGTTTTAGTCCTATTTTTATTTTTATTTTTTCATGTTGTCTGCATAGTAGTTTATTTTAGTCCTAATTAATTTTGCATGATACTTTTATGAGCATTACATGACTTGAATTAAAATAAATTGACTAAGGGTAATATTCGATCATTTTAATATTGTTGTAAAGTGGCTGTCTTAACGTATAAGAAAGTTACTTTCGATAATTTTAAAATGAAAGTCTATCCCATTTAGTGACACAAATTAAATTGAATTCATTTTAAAATTTGGCGTGTTCTTTTAATTAAATTCATCGAGAAAAGAGTGTTAGATCGAATCTAAGGTCTTGTCTCGAGATATTTAAATAATTGAACATCCTTATTCTTATTAAATATTGGTAAAATAAATAATTAATTACTTGTCTGATATGCTTTTTATTTCTTTTATTTTTGCATGTGTTTTTCAATAGATTTTCAAGACAATAACATTCGAATTGATATCGAGGATAGTAATATCTTTTCATTTCGGTCTGAGTTATAAATAACTGCTTTAAGGTATGAGAGGTTATTTATTCTCGATTGGAAATCATTAGATATTATCATTTTCACACGAATCGCTGTTGAATTTTAAGACGAAATAGTAATATCTCTTTATTTCAATTGGGATAATAAATGACTGATTTAATGTACGAAAGGTTATTTATTCTCGATTGGAAATAATTAGATATTATTGTTTTCATTCTTAAAATTATTTTGGGTGTTATTATTTTGAAATTAATAGTGAAATTTAGAATGTAATTTTAATATTTCTATTGGAGTAAGAATCAATTGCTTCAAGG